TGTGTGTGTGTGTTTGTGTATGGGGGGATTATTTGGTGGTCAGGAATATTATATAAAATCTGTAACTTGTTTTTCCGTTTAAAATAAGTTTCTATTACACTGGAGGATGCATTTCTGGTAATCAGATTTTGTCATCGACACTTCTTACTCTCATTTATTCAGAATTCAACTAATAATACTAAAGGAGTGGGGTTTGGTATTCTGGGGCTCAAGTAACGTGCGCGTATAACGCACATGTTACTCAAGTACATTATTTCGACCAAAACGTGATGATATGAATTGATTGTCTTCCAAAGACTCATCACTCTTAGCATTAAATATAACCCCTAATTTTGCATACATTTGCATTGATTTTGCTTTTATAAAACTACTAATGTTACTAAATAGTAAATACGAGCATAAAATGCATTAGTAGAAAAAATAATTATTTCGTAACTTGTCAATTACGTATTTAATGACCAAAGATAATGTGTAAACAATTGTGTTAATGATTACTGAATGACATTTGAGAATTTCATATCTTATTAAAATTAAATCTAACTAGAATCTTCCAAAAATGGTGGCGTATTATAGTTCTAAGTGTATCTTTTGAGACTATCTTTCGAACATATCGAATTTTGTTCATTTCTAGTGATATTGCTAATGATATGATTATAATTAATAACTGGATGTACATGTGGACTTTTATAAATATGTTCGACGGTTAAAATTCTCGTGACACATTCAAATAGCAAATATATTATCCGCTGGTTGTTTATACTTGATTCTCGAATTTTATTACTCTGTGACCTACTAACTGTTAATTAGTCAGATAACAAAATTGAACCATTACAGGAGATTACGTGTTGCATATTTGCCACACTTCATGATTATCCTCCCTGTGTATCCTATACTGTGTATACGTAATTAAATTACTAATATTATAAGTAATAAGCACATTTCATGTTTTTGTGTTCAGTCTCGATCCCCATTATGTATTGAGTGCAATGGTATCAGAAAAGCCACATTTAAATGGATCTAAATATATGATATATTTAATCCACCCATTAAATGTGATGATACTAATCAGTAACCGCATTTAAAACTGTTATTTCAAAAAAGGTGATTTCGTTTTGTTTTGATCTGTATGATAGTAATTGTTCGTGACTTAGCATTGCTGCAGAACAACGCCCCTGATGGGCTTTGTCAGAATAAAAAGAAAATGTATACAGAGTGCTCTAACGATCCGTTGTCAATACCTGCACACGAATGGGGACATTACGGCAAATAATACAAACGTTTTGTTGATTCATTGAATATCACTTCCACAATGAAACGAACGATTCAATAACAGTTTTCCCCTACTTTGTTTGCAGGACAAAGGATTTGTTTCCAGGTTCCATGCCTTTAAATCCGGTGTAATGGTCGAGACGTGAAAAGTAAACCGAGAAGGAGGTTTTTGATGCACGAAAGACCAATTTTTTCGAGTAAAATGTTTTTAATATTATGCTACATCAAAACTCATTTGTGCCCGTAACATAGTACATAAATACTACGAGAGTTTATTTTACTATTTTAATTGGGAAACCAGATTCTGTTTTTTTTTTTTTTTTGAGGGTTTTCCACATGAACGCCGAATACATATTAATGAAAGAGAAAACGTAATTCAAACTAATGTTATTAATTATTTCAAATCTGTGTATGATTTATAGTTAAATTACTTTATACGTATTTTTTTATTTTTTAGTAGTGAAATATTTTATCTTTCGAGAAAATGACATCTTTGTGTACTAAGATACCACAAAATCTTTAAATGAACACATGAATTTGACAGACATGGCTTCACTATTATTGTTGTAGGACTATGAGGTGAATTAAGAGTATAATTTTATCAAATGACGGGTTTTTACAATTGATAACGTGAAACCATCGAGACATCACATAAATTTGTTGAAATGCTCTTAAAAGATTCACTCTAAGTCCAGCGACAAATTAATTGGAGGCGAAAAGCAGAAGTTAACAGATTATCCCTTAGGGGAGAAATCAGGCCAACATGCAATCCTCAACACAAATTCCCCAGAGCACACTTCTGAATTCACGCGTTGTAATCACCCTGAAAATTGTTGTGACTGCGTTAGTAATTTGTGTAATAGTTTTTCATGGCTGAATTGCTTTCTTACACCAAATGTGAGCGCGTTTTTGTGCCGTTCGAAAAGCTACAAAATCGATGTTTTTACATGGAATTCACAGGGTACTTCTTCCTCTGTGACGGCGTAGGGCTTGAATTTCTCGCGCGGACTATCATTGGGCATAACTCAGAATTGATGAATCGTAGAGTCCTAAAACAATATTTTCGTGTTCCGAAAGGGTCACGTATTAGATTGTCTGTGTCGTAATCATACGAGAACATAAAATGAGACTATTGTGGATGCTATTAAATTTTTGAAGGGTCCTTACTCTGCATCACAGGTTGTCAGAAACTCTATGAGTTTGGTTCTATTGTTTAGTTATTTTCACTTATGAAATCATAATTTCAAAATTGGTATTTTTATTAGAAGATAGCAATTTTTGCGATAAATTAATTGGACCCTTCTATTACCATGTTCAAGTTTACGCTCCTTTGGGTTCTTTGGCTATACAAACCCTCCTTTTCATTCACAAGGGGTCCCTCTGCACTCTCCGCCACCGTAACATTCAGAAACGTATTTCATAATGAAAAGCACTATCATTGAATTTTTTAATATCTCGAATGATTCGAATTTGAATTACATTTTTGAAGATTTACCATTTCGGAAGTCTGCCTCTTCTAGTATGTTTGTGTGGTCAGGAATGAGAATAAACGGGAAATGTATCTAAAATTAAATAAGTGCCAATTGGTGCGTCATGGCTGATTTGTAATGCTTTCACACTTGATAATCAATACAAAGTGGTTTTTACTTTTGGAACAATTATTTACGGAATAAGGACTGTTCACGTGGATTTTCATATACTATTGTAATCCGCGAACTTTCAAATTTTCGTTCTAGATGTGTTTGACACAGGTCTGAGGGATAATCTTTGACAAGGAAAAGTATACATACGTAGTTTTACGACAGTAGTTTCTTGGTGGTATAAACGAAACAAAACCGACAACTTTCTTTAGCGTAGTATTTGCAGAGTGGCAAATAACAACTAATCGATAACCGACGGCAAATGAAGTCACGGAAGTTAAATAACTCAAGACACCACGGATTCCTGGATAGGTGACCATCCGGGAACCCCGCCTACTAACCATTCCGAGCATCTGGCTGACCGTGTGGAATGCATTGTCTGCGATGTTACAATGCAAACGAAGAATTTTTTAAACGAGAAATTACTCATTACGCCGCAACGAATTAAAAATGCAAGTGGCGCCTCAGTCAGCGCAGGATGGTGACGTTGTTGGTGCTCTGATGCGCAGGTGGTGACGCCCAAGCCGGTGCCGGCCACCACCATCCAGGTGACGTACGACCCCTTCTACAGCCCCATCCTGCAGCGCATGGACAACGTGTTCGTGGGCCTGGGCTTCAACGAGGAGGCCTGCAGGGAGCGCCTGGTGTGCAGCATGTACAAAAACCCGCCCAAGTTCAGCCCGCACAGCAACCTCATCTCCAACGAACTCAGCAGGTAGGTGCCGCTCGATACAATTACTAGAAGTTCCAGTGTCAATTAGTGCCATGCAGCTGAAGAGATTTTTCTACTCCTATTGTACATTTCTGTGTTTTGATGGCTGTAATCAGTTGCACATTTATTCTCATTTGGATACAGGTTTCATTGTGATACAGGTTCTTGACCAATCACAGAGTCGTTTACAAACCAAGTATTTACACTTAATCATTGAGAACCGTTCCAGGAAGTGTTTCGTTCGATTGTATTCGAGTGCATTAGAATTCCATTTAATGTTATGTTATGGTTGTCAATTTATTTTATTATTAGTAATATTTTACGTGAAATATTATTTAAAACAAATTGGATCGCAATTTCACTTAAATCCTACTTGATTATCGCAGAATTCCCTCGCAGGCGGACTGGCAACCAAAGCCACCTGCAGCAGGGAAGGGTAGGGTTATGTGTTAGGGAGCTGTGTGCTGGATGGCATAGCATCCTGAACGTCAACTGTCACGAAACCATTCAATATACAAGTTTAACTTACAAACTTTACTATGAGCAGTAGAAAAATTACCTTATGAAACTCTATGTAATGCGTATTAATACACTCGTGTGAAGCTCGAGTAACTCGCTCTCTCGTAATAATCGTGTATTAATACCATCATCGTTTAATGATATAATATTATATCTCTTATTTTAATATCACACTCCTGTGATTTCTGCAATTTTGAAATCATCATTACCTCATTGTTTCATGATGTACTATTATAATACCTTGAAACAATTTATTTTTTCATTCTTCATTAATTGTGTCTTTCCTTCCAATAATTTAAATAGAAATGTCATGTCCGTATGGTTCTTCACGAAGCCAATTCAGTTCACTGGATTCGCAATACTTCGAGAAGTCTTCTGTCATTGTTTGCAGATTTAACAACTTTTCCAATGTAACGTAGCAGATTATTGTTGTCATTTATCTTTACCTTGTAATGGGATATCATGTTAGAAGATCCTCAATATAGGTGTTGTGGTAGGATATCTTTGGCATTTTTAAAATAATTAAAGGTGTTGTCATTGCCAACAAT